TTTTCAGAAACAATCAAGATAATTCAAGTTGTTAACACTTATTCCACAGTTAGTCTATTTTTTTTTTATGTAACTTGATTGAAAAGGTTCTTTTCTTCGATATTATTACAAGTTACCTATTTTGTTATGTGACAACTTATTTACAATAAACATTATTCATCGTTCAATAAACTGTATTAATATTATATCATGATTTATAATACTTAGAAAGTTATAAACGTATAGTAGGTATTATATAAAAAAAGTTTTGAATTTTACGTACATAAAATAACAGTATCATGTAGATAAATAAATACAATATACAAAATACATATAATACCTACTTATAATAAATATATATTATAGACATTAGACTATGTGCCCAAATGTATTGTAAACCTAAAGTCATCGGAAAAGGCACGTTTTTAAAAGGTAGGTGATAGCTAAAATGTAAGTACCCACATTTTGACCAGAATGGCACTGCAGTACTGCACTACATCAGTTATTATATAGTGTCATACTATGTGACAATATTAAAAAGTCACATTATCTATTATTATTAGAATCACTAGATATTATAATATTATATAGTCCTCGTAGAAAAATTATATTCGTGGCATACTGGCATAGGTACGCGTACCTATTACCTATAGGCTATATTGTGTTTCCTGAAAATAAAAATGATTTCTTTGTCATCGTACTGAAATATGAATCTTTATATTTTATGTTATAGTGAAATACCTATAATATTATAATCTATGCGATACGGACTAATCAATATTGTTTAATGATATTAAAACAATTTTTTTTACCATCACGAATTCAAGACTCTATAGAGAATGAAAAAAAAGCGATTGTAATGCTTTATGGTGGTAAAAATACCATTAATTATATACAAATACTGGAATTCGTTAAATCAATGATAATACGGACATGGTATTAATCTTATATATAAAAATGAATTGCTGTTTGTTAGTCTCGCTAAAACTTGAGAACGGCCTGACCGATTTGGATTAAAATTTTTTAAGATGTTCATAATTACCAGGAGAAGATTGGTACGAAAGACAATTTTAGAAAAATCCACCGAAAAATTGGAAATCTGGATGTAAAAAATACAACAGTGTATTATATTATATTGGTTGCTATTGGTTAATCGGGCATGTTTGTTGATTTCTTATAATATAAAAATGAATCGCTAAATGTGTTGCTAAGCGCTATAATTCTACTGTACCTACGTGTGTTGTGACTGAACTCCTCCTAAATGATAGGAACGATTTGAATGAATTTTTTTGTATGCATTGGAGTGACGCCCTGGATAATTTAGATTCACAAATCACCCCCCTAGGTCCAACCAGGGGATGTGCTCAGGCGGGGATTTAGAGATTTACTGTGGAAATTTTTGTTTATAAATGGTCGCCATTGGTCTCCGTGAATTCAGTGTATTCATTCAATCTATTTAATTTTTTCGTACACTGTGTTTTGGCTTTTGATATTATATGCATCGTAATTACGTAAATATTGAGCTTATTATACTCACATATAAGTTACGTACATAAAACAGTGCTTCGTGGATGAGGAGGAAATATTTGGTCGGCATTCACAATTATTAGTCCATCCGTTTAGGAGGAGTTCAGTGGCAAATAGTACAACTTTGACACTTTACAGTTAAATTATAAAGTTACTAACAAACTACACGGGGTCCACGATCTACCGCAGGTATAGATTTCCTACCTGATAATATACTGCTGTGAATCAGAATTTTTATCCTAGGCAACAGAAGAGTTAAAATAAATGTTGAACACTGTAATGATATGCTCACACACCATCAAAATAAACTAAAATCTTACGGAATACCTAATAAATAACGGCCAGACTGTCGTTTGTAGAAATCGGTCACATCAAATAAAACCATTATTAACGACGACTAAGATATCGGCACTCACTCATAACGGTAAAACGCAGGGTGTGTGACTTTATTATATTATGATGCCGCCAGAGAAAAGGAAAGGAAAAAAAGGGTATCTGCCGCCAAAGAATAATCTAGTTCCCAAGGTCACGATAAACTTTTGATAAAGCCACCTACCACTCTCTCTGGTCAGCATCTTCGCGTCATCCCTTAAACCAGTGCATGAGCACTATTCACCGAGTTCAACCTCCAAAAAAAGTCTAAAAAAACCGATTTCAACTAGTGACACTCTGGACTCTTTGTGTGAGCAATAATCAGTGCGTTTATTATTTCGATTTATAATTTTTTTAAATATTACTCTGTGTCTATTAAAACCCTTACAAGATAATTCACAAACGACTGCGGATCAGGTAAGGCAATTAATATAATATTTTATATTAATTGCATTTATTATATTATCTGTGCATGTTTTATATACAATTGTGTTGTATAGTGTATTAATTGATCTAATTCTCGAAAACACGATCTCGAGGAAGGTAATTACTTAGTGTTACGATTTTAATATATTTATCGACAGGAGTCGTTCCTATTTTATATCGTAATTTTTGAGTTATTAAAACACCATACACTGAATATTAAATAACGAATTGAACAAAGTGTGAGTAATATGGATTTGGTCCATTTAACGGGTAACGAAGTTCACGGGATCAGCTTGTAATATTATATTTGACATATATTATAATAATTAATACAATATTATTATATAAATAATACTATAGGCACCTAGGTACTTATATTAATGTTTATATTATTAATGTTTGTATTATGGTAGCCTATCGGACCAATTCTATATTGGTATTAGCATACCTATATTATATTGGTTAACTCTCCTCTCGCTCTATACTATTAATTGTATGTGTTGATGATTGGTCAATTATTATTTCAAGGTGCTCGGACGGACCATCGGACCTGCAAGTCACCTGTAATATTGTGACAGAAACTACCACCAAAATTATAAAACACTAATACTAATATTATTAAATAATATATTACATAATATAATTATGAATTATATTTCTATTATTCGTTTTACAAACGGTAAAACAAGTATAATATCTGTTATTGTTGTTCTTCGTGTTAAAACCTAACTACTAGCTATTATAATATTGTGATAACTTTTTTAGCTTAAACTGTCAAAGTGTGAAGTCGTAATCACTACCTAGCTATATACTCAAAATATACAATGGCTATAACTATGGCGGATAATGATGAATAATTTTTTCCTGATAATTCTTATGTCATAATTATTTCAAATGGCTTTAAAATAGAAATGTAATCTGATATTATTTCCCATTCAGATACGTTTGAACAATTCTGAGCACTAGGAAAAGACTCCTTGGTATAGCGGACAGAGGACTTTTAGTATACAAAAGTTTTTCAATCATTGTCGGACTAGAATTCCATTTTGTCTTGACATTGCCCAACTTTTAATACAGTTTGGTTCATTTGCAATTGAAAAACGTTTAATTTTCCTGTAGCATAGCTGCCGTAGTGTTTCAAATGCTACTTTATTGTGTTACGTGTTATTTTAAAATTTGGTTATTATCGATATTTCCGTTTATTGACTCATTCACGCTTAAGAATTAAGTCAAGTTTATGTGTCACACATTGATGATGCCATTTGAAAATATGTTCATTTATATAATTTTTAATATTTGACTCGTTTTCAGATACTACGATTACTATTTTATTCGAAAAAAGGCCATTAATCAAAAATATTTTTGTAAGAGCAGTAGCCATATTTTGGCCACTATGACTGTCAATAACTTCTCTCGTAGCAAGTATACTGTGCAATATATGTATGCATGATAACTGAATATAAAATGACATGTCACAGTTATATACGATTTATTGCAATCGGATGTCCACATATCTGTTGTGAGTGTAGCGACTGATAAATCATTTAAATTGTCTAGTAATGATTTTAGTTTGGATGATTTAATAGGTATAGGTACCGCTAATATCGTTACCCTAACAGCAACAACACTTATCTCCAAAAGTACAATTTTACAGGAGGACCAAAAAACCTTTTAATTTTGAAAGTCTAAACATTTTAGGAACTTTTGGTACTGAATTAAGTTTTTTAGTTATACTTGCAAATTTATACATAACAAACACCAATTTATTATTGTTATTAGATTATTTAGTGTAGTTGTTACTAGTAGATACGTGTTGTTGATACATACATTTGAGGGTATAACAGCACGTAACTGAATTGTATTAATTATTTAAATTAATAATAAATTACCTTTTTTGTTGAATAAAATGTATTAAATTTGATTTTCAAGTTGAATATTTCATCAAAATATATAGCGCATTAATAAGTTCTAATAATTTCAATTAGTGGGTGGATATTTAACAATTTAAATAATAACAGCATGATATAAAAACATTATTTTTTATTTTACCAGTTTTTTGTTTTTATATTATAATACAATTTAATAACCGTCTTTTGGTTTCATATAAAATAATAGTTAAAAAAAATAACAATTAACATACTTTAAAGTTTAAAGTGATAAAAAAAATCATTATAACAATACAAATTGCACTAAAACAATTTAATAACAAGTATTTTGGTTTCATATAAAATAATAATCATACAAAATAATAATATTAATATAATTATAATGTGATAAAAAAAAATTAGTACAAATTGTACTAAACAATTTAATAACCAGTCTTTTGGTTCTATATAAAATTAAAATAATACAAAATAACAATTAACATAATATTATAAAGTGATAAAAAAAAAACATTATAACAATACAAATTGCACTAAAACAATTTCATAACCAGTCTTTAGGTTTCATATAAAATAATAATATTAATATAATTGTAGAGATAAAAAAAAATTAGAATAAGAATATAAATGTCACTAAATAATTTAACAACCAGTCTTTTGGTTTCATATAAAATAACAATATGAATATAATTATAAAATGATAAAAAAAATTAGTATAACAATACAAACTGCACTAAACAATTTAATAACCAGTCTTTTGGTTCTATATAAAATTAAAATAATACAAAATAACAATTAATATTAAATAAAATATTAAATTTTACCCTTCTTAGTTTTGAAAGATGAAGCATGCTCTAAACTGTCATAAAATGAATGTGTGTCTGCTGGAAGAAATTGTTTGAGTTTTTGAAGATCTTGATATTTTGATAATGTGATACTTAATGGTTTTTTATAGAGGTTTTCATATTTTATTTCATTTTGCATTAATACTGGTTTTCTTCCAACAGGTATATCGTCATAAGGTTCATCAAATATTAATTTGTACATAATTCTCTTTGTAGTTGGATCATAAAGTAAGCATCTAATATCCTTAACTTCAGGATCCCCTTTTGTGCGACCAGGCCTAATAGATGCATAGGTTTGATGTGTTTTAAAATTTAAAAAAAAATCATAATTTAACAATGTAGCTCCTAATTGCGAAGGAGTTTTTCTTGCTGCTTTGGTTATTCTAATGTAATCTGAAGGCAAGTGTATGTCCTGTCCTTTAAGTTTTCTCTCGATAAGGCTGTGAACACTGTCACACTGCATTTGGGTATGCCCTTTAACAAGATACTTTTGCTCAATAGTTACTTGATGTTTAACTGCAAAATGTAATAATGCATTTGCCATAATCACATTTCGATTTTGATACCCACACTCATCAGAGTATATGATTATGGGTTTTTTTTCATTCAAACAATATTTTTCCAAGTGTTTTATAACTATAGATACAAAAACTGAAGCCTCTAGTTCACCATTACCTTCGTGCCACCAGTAATTTTGACAATCTGCAGTTGCATTATTATAAATTGTGATATTATGAACTTTTAGTTTCATTGAATAGTACAATGCACTTGTTTGCAGTACAGGACAAAGTTTTACTGCCTGACAATCAATTGTAAGTACAGTACAAGATTTTTTTTCTTTGGCCAGTTTTGTATCCTTTTCTTTTTCTTCTCTTGCCCTATCTTTATGGGCAATGTGTTCAGCATAATCATTTTCGTTTACTTCGCCAATATTAAATGAGGTACAAAAATCACATTTATCTTTTCGTGGGAGATAAATTGAGAGTTTATTTTCAATCATGAAGTTTGATAAATAACAGTTGCTTAATGGAACCAAACTATCTTCAACACATTTTAATTTGTAAGCATCCATAATTTCTTGCTTGCAGTAGAACGGTCCTTCAAGGTACAATCTGTCAGTCTTACTTCTACAATAATGCGATGGCATTTTTGGCAATGTAGAGAACCAGTTCTTTAAGTGATTGATTCTTACTGCTAAAGATTTTTTTTGGCGTGGTGAAATTTCAACAATGCTGCATGATTCTTGTATCTTTCCATTTTTAATTTTTCCTGGCAATCCATGAATTGCTTGTTTTGTCCAATTTTGAACCATCCATTCGTTTAATCCAAGAGTATTTAAGAACATTATTTTACAAACTTGAAGACGTTCAGAAGAACTGTGTTTTAAAAAGTAACTGAATGTATTAGACCTCCTGCTTTCATTGCCAAGCCCAGTTGTATCTCTTTTACGTGATGTAAATGTTACCATACTTATTACATACGTATTTTTCTCCTCCCAGGTAGCAGACCAATAAGTTTTAAATATATCATTTCTCATTTCTTCATTAAATTGTTGACAATATCTTGAGTTGATGCATTTTTTAGAACTACATCTTGGTTTCATAGTTCTTTCTCTTCTTATTTTGTTATGTTCAACAATTTTACCATTTCTACTGTACCCATGTAACACTCTCCATGCATTCTTTTTTTTTTACTGACTTCACGTTTCCATTTCAATATATTATGTAGATTTTTACAGTAGGTAGCATATCACAACAACGAAGTAGAGGAAGTTAGATTACTACCAGAGCACATTTAAGGCTGTAAATATATTTTTAGTAAAATTTCTTTTTTTTTTAAATTAAATTAGTATTTTAATGAGGGTGGATTGAAAATATTATTCACTTTAAATATTATTTGTTATATATATATATATATATATATAGGTACCTATGTATTAAATACCTATATATTATGTACTATAGGTATATAGGTATGAAAATACAAAATAAAATAGTTAGTAGTAAATGCTCAGACGCTCAGTTGTGATTTAGGATTCATGTGGATCACTGATATGAATATGTTAAATTTGAAATAAATAATATAAAATCATTGCTTAGGAAAAAGTCTAGTTTTAGACCATGTAATTGTTCATTAATTATCAGAACGTTTTATAAAACATAAACAAATATTAACAAACAAGTAATCCCAAGTCATATTGATGTAAATTCACTAGATTTATTAAATATACTATAACCTTTTATGAAAGTTAATTGGCAGAGTCTACAGTATTTAATAAAAATTCTCCACATGGAAATATGGCTTAAAGATGACGTTGGAAAAAAATATTAGAATTCAGTAGTTTTTATTAGAATGTGATGAAGAATTTTCCCAAATACAAGAAAACTATTGGAATTATTAGCAACTTTTCCCGTTTCTACTGCAACAGCAGAAAAACATTTTCTACTCTACAACGCGGACGTCTCAAAACATAATATTTTCACAACAGGTTAAAATCGGTTAACTGGGTAGGCTATTTTATCAATTCAAAAATAAATTGCTTCGATTCTAATGTAGTGGTGAGAAGGTTCACTTTAACACCTCTAAAACAAGGATTTATTTTAACATTGCTTATTTGTACCAGTTATTATCATTATTATTATTATTTTTTTTTTATTGGTCATTAAGCCCGGCAACTAGGGCCATTAGCCGTTTGTTTATTTTTAGGGGAGGGTACTGTAGGTAGGTACACACGTGTGGTTTTGGGTTTTTGACAGAATTTAAAATTGGGCACCCGTAGGTTTCTGCCATGCCCGTCGGGGATGGCGGCCTCTCTCTGGGGACAGTTGCCTGCAGGCTTAGAGAGAAAAGCCACCCGTGGTCGAGATTCGAACGGCGACTGTTTCGTAGTCCACTCGGCCACAACGCCCCCTCCAGTTATTATTATCATAAATAAATTATAACTATTTTTTAAATATTATATAATGTCTAGTAATTATTATGATAATTATGATGGCAAATGATTCAAAATGTACCATCAATTATTATTTTTTCTTTCTTATTATTAATATTGAAATGTATTGATTAATATCGGTATTTGTTTGAATATTGAAATTATTATCTAGTGAAACAAATACGTGTTATTAAAAATATTGACACCCCCCCTCAAAATATAGACATGGACAATTTTCGATAAAACATTGTTTGCTCGATCAAAAAACTTTAAAATTATTAACATTAATTTACAGATATAATATAAAGGAATAGAAAATGTAGTTACATATGGACTTTATAAGCTTTTACACTAAATTTAAAGTTAAAGTCACGAATATTTGCAAATTATTTTGTTGTTATAAATTTATAAAATGTTCAATTTTAAAACTCTAAAAAAAAAACAATCTTGATAGATGAATTCTGGCCAAATGTTTATATTGGAATATTCTATATAGCATAACATTTTCAAAATAAGTTGACTGTTTTTAAGCTATTTATAGGCATAAGAAAATCTCGTCTTTTTTAGTTTTTTTAATAATTGTAGAAAAAAAAATTTCGCTCTCTCTCAAAAACGCTGCTTTATCCTACTGTTATACTAGATTTACTATCCTAGTAAAATATATTAACACAGTTTTTTTTATAGATATTACCTATTTAATTTTAAATTTTGACGAAATTATATTGGTACTTCTGCAAATGTAGGTAATCTCCAAATAGGCATTATGTTAACTCCTACAAACGTAATAAATCTTTTTTTAAAAACTATAATAAGATGTATATAATTATTGATACAATCAAAACCACTGAACAATTACCAAGGACTCCATGCGAGTTTTTTTTTTAAATAACACTGGAACAAATACATTTCTGTGTTGCTATACTGATGATGAGGCTATTATAAGAATTTGCCTGACGACGTATCTATATAAATATATATTATAATATAAACGTAGGTAGGTGTACACATTTGAAAACCACTAACAATAATTTATCAAACAAATACCTAAAAATATAAATTTGAAACACGTCGCATTGACATACACGAAAAACACCGATATGAGTGCCGCAAGCCACGAGGAGTTGAGAGAAAATTACGTCACCCGTGCAGGACCTCCGTCGCATCACCCGGAAGAGAGCACCGGGTCTCCGGGCCGGCGCGTCGCCGGAGAGGCGAGTGAACGGCAACAGTGGCTGTCCAAATCCGTGTCTCCGGGACGAGGACACGAACACTTGTTGCCCGCGTCGTCCCACCGCGCCGAGGTGCCGCCCCGAACCGAACGCCAATCAAGCTGCAGCTTACGTCGATCCGGTCGATCAGATAATCAACGAAGGACTAATGCAGCAGAAGAAGAGCAGCCGGCGGCGGTCGTCCTGCTCAAGCAACAGTCAGCCGCGAGGGCCGAGCGGCCGGGAACGCAGCGCGAGACCGTCCACGGCCAATCACAGCGGCTACCAGCCCGATTTCTTCGACGACCGATTTCTTCGACGACCAAGCGGACATGAGTAGCTGGCAACAGCACCGGGACCGTGGCCAGCACGACGCTTCACGAGTACGGCCATCATCTCCGGCGCCCAGGCCCAAGCGTTTGCCATTCGAACCTTACGTGGACAACGAGCCGTATTCCCCAGCTGCGGTGCAGGGCACGCCGGGCGCGGCGGCAGCCATACAGACCGCGCTGCAGGACGAAAACGACGGCCACCGGCAAAACTTGCAACGGGAACTGGCAAGGCTGAACGAGGAGCGGTCAAACCTGGTGGAATGTTGGAAATGGAAATGAAAATCAAAGAGATAATGCGCGAATACAAGCAACTGAAACGCGCCTCCGCGAAGCTGCAACAGCAGCCGTCCGGTGACGACCGGGAACGGCTTCAACGGTTGATCGACGAGGAGAAACGGAAACTGGCCGAGTTCCAGCGACGCCCTCGACAGCAGAACGAACGGTGCGCCGCGACGCCGAGCGGAACGTACGAGATCCCGTCGGACTCGCCGACTAGATGCCCGACGCCGTCGCCGGCCCGAAACCGGGAATCGGCCTGCGCCTCCACGTCGACGCAGCCCCGCCAGCGACGCAAATTGAGCTACCAGCCGCCGTCGCCCGACACCGACACCGAAGACGAATGTCCCGCGCAGCCCCAGAGACGACGGTTACTAGTGGTACCACCGTCGCCGAGCGACAGCAGCGACGACGCTAACGAATGCGGTTGCTAAACACCCTGGATGTGCATCCAGGTGTCCGGCCGGAATCGTCACTAAGCAGGACTCATTTATGTACTAGGTACTACCGGTGACGGCGGACGCGCCACAGCAGACCAAGCATACACGGTCCTCCTGTAGCCGTATGAGACCCGCCGATTCCTGGGCAGCTTGTTATGCGGATCCACGGCAGAAACTATAATAACAGATTAAAATAAATGAAGTCGTGGTATCGGAAATCGTAATAATGCGGTCTCGACACCGTTTTCTTATACACTTTACGTACCTACCTATGTCAAATAAAACAAAATTATTAATTTTACTAATCTGGAATTTATAATATCTGCATGCATATATAGACACATAATAATATAATATAGTAAGTAGTTAGGATGTGCCTGTAATAGACAATAGGAACTTGAAGAAAAGTAACAAAAAAAGACACTATTAGGTGCTTAATAAAATTTGTAAAAACTTTAATGACATTAATGATATTATTCTTCGTCAAGGAGCCACTGCTATAAGTCTATAAGCTATAAGTCTTTTACTAATGCAGTATGCAGTTACTCGTAAAATATAATTAAAACAATCCTATCGCATTCGGTGATTTTGAACTGTGCGCGTTAAGTAAAATAATATGGACAAACCACAAACGTTAGAAATAATAAGAAGGATTATGTACTAGCACGCAAAAATAATTTACAACCCTCATGGTTAAGATTATTTGGGGTGATTTAAAAAGTTGGAAAGAATATTTTTTACTAATGTAGAGGGCTCGAAGAATTCTATCATTTTAGATTCTGAGTGGAAAGATAAATGTTTTGATTTCAGTATTTCACAATAATGTGTTTTTTTTAAATTTATTTCTTTATTTTTGTGTCTTATGTACACGATAAGTAGTCGAAATAATGCATCGACTTTCAACTTCAGTATCTTGTTCGATGGGAAAGTGAATATTGTTGGTGGATAAGGGGGGCCAAAATTAAAAATTCTCAATAGTTATCAAAAGAGCCGAGAAAAACAACATTAAAATTAAGGAAAAACGGGAATTTTTAAGTAAAATCCATTTTCCACAAAATTGATTTTGGTTTTTGGTGTAACCCTAAAACAAATGATTTGTATATACATGAAATTTTTACTGGTCGTTTAAATTTGCATTTTCTATACACGATCAAACTTTCAAAATATTTTGATTTGTTTTGAACTATTTAGAAACATTTTCTGTTTCCAATTTTATTAATCTTTGTATCTATGAATGTCAATAAAACTTTATTTGTTGGGTAAAAATGCTTGGAAATTTAATACAAGGCTCCTACTATATTGTTACAATGACATTTGAAAAATATTAAAAATCCTTAGTCACAGTTTTTATTTATAAGCATTTAAAGTTCAAATCTTGACAAAATACTGAAAAATCACTAAAATTAGCAAATTATTATGAGTTGAGACTTCATAGAAATTTTTCTTTTTAAATTTAAGATTTGAAAATGTAATACAAGATTCATTATAAGTTTGTCTACTTTTATCAAAAAAAATGTCTACAAGCAAATCAAATTAAATTTTTATGAGTGTTGGAAATTCATATTTTTACAATATTGGATATTCCATCGATTTCTCATGTAGCGGTTTTGTAATTTTATTCATTATTATTATTCAAAATCGAATAACTGTAGATATATAAAAATTTTGCTGAATGTTTATATTTTCATTTCCTATACACCATACAATTTTGAAAATATTTTGACTTTTTTTGAGCTGTCAGTTTTCAATTTTTTTAGTTTTTTTCCTAAATATATCAATTAAATTTTATTTGTTGAGTAAAAAAGCGTAAAAATTAAATGCAAGGCTCTTGATATATTGTTAGAATGGCAGTTGTAAAATATTAAAAATACAAAAATCAAGCATTTCCAGTATTTTTTTAACAAAGTAGATGATTAAATTTATTTATTTACAAACTTATTGTAATCAAGTACCCATTTATAGTGTATGTTGATTTCAAATTATTTTGGCATTGGAATTTGAAAATATTTGTCATTCAAGTATTCCCCATTAGTCATTACAAAATAAGTGGACACTATATTCACAAGTCTTGATTTTACCACTGTTTTAAACACTTTAACAGATACCAGATTTAGACATTGACACTACTTTAAGGTATTTATATACATTTTCGCATATAAAAAATAGGCTGCCAATCACCAATCAGCTGAGTTTATGATTATGTTGTCCTATTATTTTTCAACAATTTGTTCTGAAAAACAGTTCTGAATATAACTAATCATTAATCATTGAATTTAAAATTCAAAATAAGAAGTTGAGTGCCGTGAATTACTTAAAATATGTACACAACTGTCTCTAATGCTTATTATAACATTAAAAGTATTTTATTTTTAATTTTAATTTAAATTTGTCTTAGATATTTAAATATAAAAATAATTATTGAAGTATTAAAGATAACAAATAATGCTTTACACACAACAGTTTGAAGTACTTAAGAAAACATCTTGGTATATAAATCATTACGACAATATTTAGCATGATAATTTTCGTAGTAATTGACTTAATATTAAACATACAAATTATTATATATACATATAAAACAATAAATTCATTAAGACTATTTAACGTAATATTAAAAAACACCTACTGGGTTATTTTATGATAACAATAATTGTTTAGGTACACATTTATACAACAATGATGTACGATTTTATAGTTATAAATATTTTATGATAGTAACCCTAGGCGGAGATTTGATTGAATTTTAGAGGGGAGGGCTTAAATATTTTTTAACAAAATAAGAAGTGGGGGGTTGAAAAATGTACAATTATTTTGGGGTGCTTTCAATATTTGTTGGGGGGGGGGGGGGCTAAATTAGTAACATACAAAGAAGATAAAAATATTAGATATCAAGTTAAAATTTCGTTTTACTACAGTTAACGAGTTGAAATGGTCTGTTAAGATTTAAATGTCATTGTGTACATAACAAACACATTTTAACAATAATGAAATATAGGCTTTTGTAAAGTTGTGTGATAAGCACAATATATTTTGTTAGTCTTATAAAACAATGATGTTATAGAGTTGTTTATTGAAAAAACAAACTTTTCTTAAATTACAATAATTTTAATCGGAAAAAAAAACATGAGTGATCCATTGATCTGTATAGATTATGGTATATATATAATGTATCACAATGGTTCATTGTTAACCATACATTTTTTTGACATTTAAAAATAACATAATAGGATTAAAAAAAAAATAATAATAATTGTTAACGGTAGCAGAAACGACACTCATATAACATAGTTTATTCTATTCCATGAGCAAAAATCATTATGAGACCGGGTTCAGACATCATGTCATCACTAACCATAATATTATCACACGGTAAGACAATGACTGCTTGTTTTCCAGGTATACGCTTGCAGTTGTATCGGTCATAGTGCCTTCTGTTGTGTTGTCTAGTTTCTAGGCTTGATAGTCCGGATGGCCAATTGCGTTCATGACAGTTTTTTACGAGATCATCCAGGATATGAGCAGGACAACCACTTTCAATAAGTGCTTGTTTTATGTTGTTCTAAAGGAACAAGAAAAATATTTAAAAAAAATAAAACTAAAAATATACAACAGTTTTGTATAGGTACTTATTATATTAATTAAATATTACATACTTGAAGATATTCATCAGGCGTAGAAATCATTCCTCCCCAGCGAGTAACTCTGGCTTGTGGAAGAGAACTTGACCAGCGTTCAATTTCGTCTCTTTCCAACTCATCGGCTACGGCCCTTACGCTTGGATTGCATACACGCAAGGCCCGCACATAACCCTACATATAACAAAAAAATAAAATTTAATAAAACATATTTTCTACTTTCTAATTTTTTTTAAATAGAGAACCTTTAATGAGCGCCATATTTTAACTATTAATTGTATTGGACAACATAAAAAGTGACAGATTGTCGTACATAACTTGTTCAACATAGTATTCTATTCACACTGACGACTGTCTGATTATTAGAGACTAGAGTAGTTTAATTACAATATCTAATCAAATTATATTTTTATGATAAAAAAATCATATAATCATACAAGTTCAAATCCTTTTTTAGTAACGGAATTTTTATGTAAAACCATAAAAGAATTTCAATGAGTCATTTATTCATTTATTGTCCATAAAACGATAAAATTTAGGTTTTCAGTAATTAAGGATAGTGAGAGATAAATAGCTATTAAACTATCGATTTATCAATCATGTTTTATTTGTTTAAACAATCAAACGTAATATTATTGACCAGTAATCTATTAAATTATTAAAATACTAATTACTAATTAGTTATTAGGTCAAGCAAAATCAAATAATTATAAATTCCTCTAAAGATAAATCGAACCATACATTATTTTCGTTATTTAAAGCATGATAATTATTGTTATCTGAATTAATTACACTAAACTCGAGTGCCCAATCGACTTTGTTTACAGCAATTGTTTATATTATGTAACAGAGTTCTAATATTTTAATACTCCTTGTTCAAGTTTTTTTTAAATAGCTAGTTTACAATTGTCATTTATTATAAAAAAATTTGAGACTAACCCATTAGTCGCAGTTCTTTTGTATCAATAAAATACATGAAAATTCTTTGAAACGGAATCACGAAAAAGTTTACAGAGCCAATACCATTGACCTGCAAAATAGTCACTTAATTCTGATTTTGAATTTATATTCAATAAGTCGATTAGTATTTAAGATTCTGAGCGGAGCAATGATTGTATTCATTTTACATTCATGTGTTGTTTTTTTTGTCTGTCATTACCTTTTAGTACAGTAAAAATGCGTAGATTTTCTTCAACAATATATTTTCAGATAGGAAAGTGAATCTAGTTGGTACTTTGGGGGGTCAAAAGTAAAAAATTATATATAGTTTTTGAAAGCGCAGGGAAAAACAAATAAAAAATTAAGGAAAAACGAGAATTTTTAAGCAAAATCGGTTTTTGACAAAATAAATTTTGGTTAGGTTCAAATCTTGACAAAATACGTAAAAATGAAAAAAAAATGTTCAAATTATTTTAAGTTAGAAATTCATAACTTTTAAACTTATTAAATTTTATAATAATATGGTTTTAGCCTTTAGGCTTCGGCCTCCCCAAATCTCAAAATTAGCGCTTATTGTACCTAACCAAACATAATACTTTTTAAGATATTTTTCAATGTTATCCAAGTAAGAATTTTCCCGACAATTGTATGTACATTTAAGTTAAAAAAATGCAAAATATGCACAAATATACTAAAAACGCTCAAATTTACACTATTCCTAAAATATGCAAATTCAAACTTTTATATTTGATTTCTTTTAAATGTCATCACTGGGTGGCTGATTTTATCAAGCCTTTTCATGTATTATACTTATCTCAGCTAATACTCTTATTCTACCCATGAGGTACAGATTGTATATATAATAATAAAGGAAAATAATAATATTTAATTTCGCCATTTCATAAGACAAATTTATAACTTATTTTAAAATAATCTACGACCACTACAATAAAACATACAAGCAGTCCCGAATCCTATAAGCAATATATTTATTAGGTGGAAAAATATCAATGGAGGTGGCGGGGTTAGACACCCAAACCCCCCTGGCTAGGTCACGGGGTGGGGGGAAGATCCCTCATGAAACACCACGTTAAAAATGTATAGCTTCAATCCTAGCATTGCCAATGGCAGTATAGCACGAAAATACGAATTTAGATAAACTTATAGGTAGGTACCCTATTTAATATTAATATATTTAATTTAATATAAATCATAATAATTCGTGGTTATGGCTAAGGGTAAAAAATTACGATCGGAACGCACAACATCATAATAATATTACGTTCTTACATCATAGTATCATACCGTACACCAATAAGTTGTTGTAGCACTGTCGATGAAAAATGATAACAGACCGTTTTTCGGTTTTAACCGGAATACGCCGACCAGACGTTATGATAACAACGTGTTCGAAACGAAAACAACAATGCCAACGAACACAACACTATAAAAGTACAAAATAAAAAATTCAAGCATTGATAACTTTTACTGCTGAACGGTGGACTGCTGGAGACTGGAGTGTTCGAGTACAAGACAAACGTCGAAACTGGAAACAATCATCACTATAATAGGTATACCGTAACATATTAATATCATTGAAATAACGACGACCGTTGAAGAAACCAGAACGATCAGTGTCCTCTCGGTGCTAGCCATTACTGTCAGCACACCATCGCGATGACCACGTCCAAGAGTCAGATAAAATTCGGTTTCGATTTCACGTCAGTGCCGGACCTGGTGGCGTGCATCCAAAAGCTCACGGACTGGGGCTACTCGTACGCGTGTATACCCCTGGTGCACGCAAAACTGACGCCCGACGCTTCGAATCTTGATCGGTCGGCATTAGTGAGCAGAGCTGACGTGATCCTACAGGCCGAGACTTGGAACCGCGTGGTGGTGAAATTGTCTCCGCACCTTGACTTGGATTCGGAGGACGCTGTCGCCAGGGACCGGGACGCCGAGCTCTTCCGCCAGGAGGTTTCTTACGCGTCATACCTGAATGTGTCGGCGATCATGTTCCGGCTACCACTTGACGGCTGCATGCCCAACTTGGCTCGTCTGGTCAACGTCGCTCTCCACGACAACGTGTTTGTAAACTTTTATGTACAAGTGCCTATGTGTAGTGGTAGTGGGGCCAATGAAAATGGCATCAGCAGCGACAACAATGGTTGTGGCGCAACAGACACTTGGAAACTCTGGTCGGCATTCAGTGCCGCGTGTGACTATCACAGATCTGTATGCCTGGCATTGGAACTCAGTGTCGACTTGCCCGACGAACAAGAGCTCGATCGATGGCTGGGTGAACCTATTAAGGCAGTTATTGCTCCCACTTCTATATTTCTGACCAACAAAATGGGTTTCCCAGTTCTCTCTCGTCCTCACCAAACATTCGTCAACAAGCTATTCGATCTTGACGCCTGCATCTTTATAAGTGGAGAGTCCAATCAAAATATGAAACCATATTTTGAATATTTGTCTTATATTCATGACAACAATAAATCCGACAAGCTTTACAGTTACTCTTATGCTTACGAAGATTTGTTACAAGTTCCCTTACAGCCACTAATCAACAACTTGGACAACAATGTTTATGCTGTGTTTGAACAAGATCCAATTAAGTATCAACAGTATGAAAAGGCTATAACCAGAGCATTAACTGACAAAGTTAAAAGCAGTAGCACTGAAGTGTTAACAGTATGTGTAGTGGGTGCTGGCAGAGGGCCTTTGGTAAATGCTAGTTTAAAAGCATCAGACAATTCTAAAGTTGCTATAAAAGTGTATGCGATCGAAAAAAATGAGAATGCATTACATGTGTTGAACTATAACAATGACAACTATTGGCACAATTTGGTTACAGTAGTCTGTGCAGATATGAGAACATGGAAGTTTGAAGAAAAATGTGACATACTAGTGTCTGAATTGTTAGGTTCATTCGGCGACAATGAACTTTCACCTGAATGTTTAGATGGGGCACAAAAGTTTTTGAAAGAAGACGGTGTCTGTATTCCCTCGTCTTATACGTCTTATTTAAGCCCATTACAATCTCAAACTCTGTTTAGTAATATGAAGATGTTCAAATCCAATACACCCATGGATAATTTACACGAGAATGCTGAACAAATATACGTGGTTAACATGCGCAACATGTATATCATATCCCCTGCACAGCCATTGTTTACTTTTGATCACCCGAGATGTGACTTGGAAAGAAATAATAACAGATACACAACACTGACGTTTGACATAAAACAGGATTGCATTTTACACGGATTTGCTGGATATTTCAATGCAGTCTTATACAAGGATGTAAATATAAGTATTGAACCTTCAACATTTAGTACGGGCATGTTTAGTTGGTATCCCGCTTACATCCCGATTAAAAGCAGTATAACATTGAAGAAAGATGAGCAGTTGAAAGTACATTTCTGGCGTCTTAGTGATACTTCAAAAGTCTGGTATGAATGGAGTATATCTAAACCTAATTCAATGCCTGTGCACAATCCAAATGCGCGTTCCTATTCTATGCAATTACACTGAGATCATATTCAATTAACTATTTATGATCATCGTGCATACATGATTCAAGGCTATAAATAATGCATTATTATAAGTCCATAGGGTATATATATTTTTTAAATGTACTGTTAAATTTGTTTACTTTTTTTTTTTAACAATCTATACAGATAAGACATTAAAATATCTATAGTTTTAAAATGTAATTAAATTAAATTGAAAAATAAATATTTGCTTCAACTTTTGAGTATGTGCATTTTTAAGTAAGTAATCAAATTTGATTTTGAGTTAAACACACCGCCAAATAATACATCAATTTATTAACTCTAGTCTAGGAGTAAACTTGATATAACAATATAATATAATTACTATACCATGAGAAAACATTTTAAGTCTACCAAATGAGAAATTAAATTATAGAATATTATTTAATATTTTCCATTGTTTGACTCAAAGAATAACATTGTGTAACGACATATCTAATTTTCAAAGATATATTTTTATCAGAAAAAAATATTTAGTGTACTAATGAATAAAAAGCATTTAATTTGATAAACCATCATCTTAAGTTCTCTATTCTTATTATATTCAAATTTAAAATTAAACATGATAAATTATTTAACTATGTCATTACATTTTGAATTGCTTCAATAGAACAATATACTTTATTATATTTTAAATTGGAACAAAAAGTAAATAATATTTTAAGGCTAAAGGCCTTAAGTGCAAAATAGAAAAAGTTTACAGCTAAGGTTATTATGTATAATGTAATGGAAATAAACATTTTACCTTTAAAATTCTCATTTCATCTTTGATTCCAGTCATTTCATACCTGTATGTAGCCATATCTTGATGCATTTCATTTATTTTCTGTTGTTGTTTTTGTACTAATTCTCGTAATTCTTTCACACAGTTATGATCCTTTCAATTGAAATAAATTGTTGAATTAAAATGTTATACATTGATATAATTATGTTAAATACAGACCTTATGCTCATCTTTTGGTATGATTAAACCGCATCCTTGTTCACAAGGAAATGGTCTTTTAGGATTATATTCACATTCAGATAGATGAGAGTCTAGAGTATCTAGTTTTACAACACTTTGACATCCATAATTTGAATTTTCACAAACAATATACAATCTATAAATATGTTAAAATATTTTAAAGCATGAAATAATATGGCAATAATAATGGTATGAGCTTATAATTTTAGTTTCCAACAAGTATTGAGCCTAATAATAGAAATAGTCACGTCAATAAGGCTTTGAAAATGCTAAGATTCTTGTTTAACATTTTAATGGGTTTCAAGCTATCTAGTTCTCTAAAGGTTTTTTATTGTTTATTTATGTGTTCCATACTTGTATAATATTGTGTAATTGTTATATGAAGCCCAAGTAAGAAATAGCTAAAAACTAGAATGAGTTCAGCAAAGTTTCTGAAGAGTATATCATTTAGAGTTCAGATAGTCAATTGTTTGTCCACTACATGACTACAATTTTGTACTTGGTCACTTGAATCTGCCCATATTGGCCAATAGAAAAGCTCAAGTTAATTTATAATTTTTTTCTAAAATCATTCACCCACCTATCCTATTAGGTAAAATTAATTTTAGAATCCCAGTTCTATATCCACTTTTTTACTGTGAATTATTTATTAAACAGTCCTATTCTACAAAGAATGAGAATAATAAATGAGGATTCATCATTCATAAGGGACTAAATCAATTACTTTTTATGTACCTACCTAATGTATGTTATGTATTGTTATCATTAATTTTAAGATTATTATTATTAATAAAGAATTTTTATTTTTAAGTATTAATCATGTTTTTAGATTGTTCTTTGATATTTGGGTATAATTTTTATTTTATTTTTCTTATAATTTATGTACAATTACTCGTTAACGCTCTACTCCACCACAAGCCAAGGCTTACAGGAGTAGATATATTCTTTATCTCTGTATAATATATTTACATTATGTATATTTTGTTACTTGAAAAGAAACTAATTAATAAAAAAAAAAATATCCAAAATTTATATTGAGTTCATCCTAATTTTTAATAAAATATGCTGAATATCAATCATTATCAAAGTAAGTTTTAGAATATGGTTTGAGGAACTAATAAAAACGATTGATAAAATTACATTAGGATAGAAAAGTGAACCTAGTTGGTACCATGCGGGGTCAAAAGTTAAAAATTCCAGTAGTTTTCAAAAGCACCGGGAAAAACATCTATTTTTAGGCGAAATAGGTTTTCGACAAAATCAATTTTGGTTTTTGGTGTAACTCTAAAACAAATCAGTGTAGATACATGACATTTTCACTGGAAGTTATTAGCTTTTTCTATACACGGTAAAATTTCAAAATATTTTGACTTGTTTTGAGGTGTTTACAAACATTTTCAGCTTACAATTTTATATGTTGGGTCATAAAGCTTGAAAAATTAATACAAGGCTCCAAATATATTGTTACAACGCAGTTGAAAAATATTAAAGATACATGGACAAATATATTTTATAAGCATTTAAAGTTTGAATTTTCACAAAATATGTAAAAATCACGAAAATGTTGGGTTAGAAAATCATAAAAATATTTCTTTATAAATCTAAGATTTGAATTTAATAATTTAGAAGAATCCTGATATTATAAGTTTGTCTATCTTTATTAACAAAAAAAATGTCTGCCGGAAATTCAAATTAAATTTTTGTGTTTAATTTAAAATTTTGGATTATTGGATATTCACCAGTTATCTCATGTAGCGAATTTTTTATTTTGTTGTACATCAAAAATAAAGGCATAAATCTAGTTTAGGGGCCAAGCGATTTTTTCAATTTTTTTTATCGAAACTTATGTATCTCATCGAGTTAAGAACGATGGTGCAATCAGAATTTGTCGCTCTCATTTAGTTCCGAAGTTATGGCCTTCCAAAGTTTTCGATTTTACGTTTATACGCATGCGCGCAACACTACTATAATGACGCGCGGAGAACCATTTTTGTTATTTTTTGGTACATACGTATTCGGTATACCTTTTTTTTTTGAAACTTATGTAGTTATGTATTATGTACCCTGTACATACTTGAGGTGGTGTTGCATAGCAAGTCGGGGGATATTTTCGATTTGCGGAGCGGAGCGACGGCGCCGAGGAGCGTAGCGACGAGTGCCGATACACGCGTAATGACTGCTCAATGCTCATATACTACGACATAACTTTTCCTGTAACCTACTTAAGGTGGTGTTAATGACTTACGCGTAATGACTTTGAATTGCCATAACTTTTGAACGGTAAGTTTCCGGAAATTTGTCCGAGCGCAACGCATTAATATACATCAATTATAATTTGAAAAATACGTAAGATAAGATAAAAATTATTAAGTGTTTATAAAATATACATAGAAAAACCCATGTATTAATCGGGATACGTAGATAAAAGTTAGGTAAGTCTATACGCGCCTGCTGAAAGGTTAAATAACAAAAATGGTCCTCCGCGCGTCATTATAGTAGTGTTGCGCGCATGCGTATAAACGTAAAATCGAAAACTTTGGAAGGCCATAACTTCGGAACTAAATGAGAGCGACAAATTCTGATTGCACCATCGTTCTTAATTCGATGAGATACATAAGTTTCGATAATAAAAATTGAAAAAATCGCTTGGCCCCTAAACTAGATTTGTTCCAAAAGGTATACCGAATACGTATGTACCAAAAAATAACAAAAATGGTTCTCCGCGCGTCATTATAGTAGTGTTGCGCGCATGCGTATAAACGTAAAATCGAAAACTTTGGAAGGCCATAACTTCGGAACTAAATGAGAGCGACAAATTCTGATTGCACCATCGTTCTTAACTCGATGAGATACATAAGTTTCGATAAAAAAAATTGAAAAAATCGCTTGGCCCCTAAACTAGATTTATGCCTACCTTTTTTTTTTGAAACTTATGTAGTTATGTATTATGTACCCTGTACATACTTGAGGTGGTGTTGCATAGCAAGTCGGGGGATATTTTCGATTTGCGGAGCGGAGCGACGGCGCCGAGGAGCGTAGCGACGAGTGCCGATACACGCGTAATGACTGCTCAATGCTCATATACTACGACATAACTTTTCCTGTAACCTACTTAAGGTGGTGTTAATGACTTACGCGTAATGACTTTGAATTGCCATAACTTTTGAACGGTAAGTTTCCGGAAATTTGTCCGAGCGCAACGCATTAATATACATCAATTATAATTTGAAAAATACGTAAGATAAGATAAAAATTATTAAGTGTTTATAAAATATACATAGAAAAACCCATGTATTAATCGGGATACGTAGATAAAAGTTAGGTAAGTCTATACGCGCCTGCTGAAAGGTTAAATAACAAAAATGGTCCTCCGCGCGTCATTATAGTAGTGTTGCGCGCATGCGTATAAACGTAAAATCGAAAACTTTGGAAGGCCATAACTTCGGAACTAAATGAGAGCGACAAATTCTGATTGCACCATCGTTCTTAATTCGATGAGATACATAAGTTTCGATAATAAAAATTGAAAAAATCGCTTGGCCCCTAAACTAGATTTGTTCCAAAATAAATAACTGTAGATAAACTTGATTGAAAATTGTATTTTTTGGGTCAAAAAGTGTGAAAATTTAATACTAAACTCTAAAATATTAAAAATACATAGGCACAATTTTTTTTATAAGCATTAAAGTTTGAAATTTGACAAAGATTTTCAATTTTCAAATTTAAAGATGATTTTGTAGTTAAACATTTATAAAATGTTCAACTTTTATAGCTAAGGATTGAACATTTTTTAATAGTTATTTTATGTTCAAATTTGGACGAAAATAGAAATTTAAACAAAGGTACGGTTTTAGTTTTGTTTTATATTTTAAGAATATTATTGTGGGTACTTGAAACTTCTTAAGTACCTATATCATTATACATATACAAATATGATAATAATTAAATAATAATAATTCAACTTAAGCAGCTACCGTAATAATGGACCGTATTATTTTGAACGCTAGACGTTTAGGCACATAGCACATTGACCTAAAAACCCACACAAATTGGTACAAATAGCTACTAGTACACTACGTTTGAACACATAGAATAAAAAGGTATTTTATAATTTTACCTGATAAATCAGTCTAATCAGAGATCTTTTGGGTAAACATAATACATATAATATATAAAATAATAAACGATATTATCTTTATTACACCTGTATCAATATAATATAATAATATATAACTACAGATTTTTTTATTCTTTCATTCACATAGACTCAGTATGACAGACAATAGTATCTCAGTTTGATTTGTTTTTCCTAACTGAACGGTAAGAATCATGAACGTGAATATTACTGAAGTTTATGAAACGTGTCACATTAAATAGTGCGTTATAATTGGAAAGTTTAAATGTAGTGAATTTAGAATAAATAAAGACGAGAGCAAAATTTTTTGTTGTACCTACGTTAAACGTAACTGTCTCATTACATGAATACATTTAAAACAAATTTAATGAATTTAATCTTGACAATAATATTAGGAAATATTTATATGACATCGGTCCACGTTATGTAGGGGGAAAAAATAAAATTTAATAATAAATAAGATAGCAGTAAATAAAATAAAATTAAATACGATTTTTGAATTAAGAAGATTTTGTATTTTTGTAATGAACCAATGATTTAATATAATATTATGTAATATAACAAATATTTTTAAATAAGTTGCAAATAAAAAATTTGGGAAACAATTAAGAGCCAACCTGCCAACCTCCCCTCGGTGTCACTAATCGACTCTAAAAAATAAAGTAGAAAAAAATGTGTACCTAAATGTATTGGTACCCAAATACATAATACAAATTTTAAAAATATGATGTACCCAAACATTGTATTCATTTTTGGTATATGAAAAAATGGTACAAATGTACCATATGGTTCCAATCATTATCTCAATTCCAATATAAAAATACATTTTTGTGCCCAAACATATTTCAGCGTTTATTTTTACAAATAATCAGTATACAGCTGATAAAAAATTGGGAGGTGCCTTTTTAAATGGTTTCACATTGACAACATTAATTATGTTATAATTGTATTTTTTTTTATATATATATATTTATCAGATAATAAAACTACTGCAGATTTTTTTTTGCTTCCCCTCCTCCATTCCAAAATATTGGTTATGCAACTGAATGACAATGCGCCATTTCAATTTCATATTCCAAAGCAGAATATTTTTTAGGTATTTCGATAAATAAAAATCAAATTTAGAACGAGAAATGTATGAGTTATAAGTTTAGATTAGCGCAGTAGAGTATGTGGTACCCCGCAATATGATGATAGTCCACTACTCCACTCATTTAAACTTTAAATACCTGTAAATTATGAACTACTCATCCTAAATACAATTTGTATGTATGGAAATACTAAAAAAAATATACTGCTTTCGAATATGAACTTAAAACTGTATGTTGTAATTCAAAAAAATATTTAAAAATACTTTTTTAATAATAAGTGTCTTATATTACATGAATCAGTTGGTATGATTAAGGAACAGTATTTACATACCTATTCAGTAGATTTTTTAGGATTCGTGGCACCGGTCGCAACTGAAGAACATTGACGGAAAGTCTGTCTACTGGACATGTAGACTGTCTTAGCAGCCATTCAAGTATACAACCTTTGCAGAATGCGTGTTCGCATGCTGGTGCCTAGAAAAGTAAACAGTTAATAAAACATTGCAAGGTGATATATCATAAATTCAAACTTCACTATTTTGTGTAAAAGAGATATGAAGTGTTTGGTATTATTAATGTAAATACTTGACAAGTATAAAAACTTTACTTGGACTGGGTCCTGTAGCACTCCAGTACATATGGGGCAGAGAAGCTCTTCATCTACTTCGCCAACAAAACGGATGATATCAAAACCCATAGCAACTGTACATGAAGTTTAAAACTATCAACTTATCCAACGTCAAATGTTTACTGTGTTCTGTAGACCCAGAAAACAAGGAAAACCTTGGAGAAAATATCGTTAGTACATCAAAATATATCATTAACCAATTAATATATCCAAAAGATTAAATAATTACTTATTATTTTTTTTATAGTTATTTACTTGTTAGTTGTTACTATTTATTTGTTCAAATGCCGTTATCATTAAAAAAAAAATAGTATTATCGTAATCCAGAGAGAGACAGTCTTACCCGCGATGACGACACTGAATATTTACTATTAGAACAATATCAAAGATAATATGAGCCTAAATCTAATATCATCTAATATTCAGCGTTTCAACGTTTCTCAACCTGTGGAAAATTCGTAGGTAGTACGAAAAAAATCTCCCTTTAAAAAAAAATGGAATGGATCATTATCTACAATAAATTTTATTTGGTTTTTTTGATAATAATAATATAAATAACATTATGTGACATGATAATAATACTATCATAATTTTGTAGTTCCTAATAAAATTAATTTCCATACAATATGTAAAATAATGTCTTCAAAAAAAAAAAAGTGCTACATGAAAATTTTCAAACTGTGTAGTTGATACTCGGATATAAAAAAGTTGAGACTTGAGATTGAGAACCTCTGTTCTAGGGACTAGAATATTAGGTACCAACCACGAACATAGGTGATTCACCTATTCTTTGGATGGTGGATTCAGGGGGAGGGTGATCACCCCCTCTCCCTTTGTGTATTCTACGTTATTTTTTATTATAATATTGGGCTAAAAAAAGGTAATTTCATTTTTGAAAATTCGCCTCCCCCCGAACTATATATAATATAGTTGTCACTAAGGGCGACTTAAGTAGGTACTTCACGGTTCACTGTTCATTAAGCAGTTTGAAGTCGCCTAATAAGGTCAGGTGGTTTTACATAACAAGTCGAGGGACATTATTTTCGGTTTTAAGTATTGACTACAGGGGAATGGGGATCTAGTTTACCACAGGGCACAGGGGATAACCAACTATCAAGATCTGCGGTCTGGTACTATACTTTATGGCCGTGATTTTGTTCGTATTGTACCTACTATTTACAAATACGCCGTAGTGGAATAGTTCACATAGTATAAACAATAAACTATATAAACTATAAGACGTTAGAACACTTAGAACCGTGTTTTCGTTATAGTGTTAACAACGGTTATAAAGAAGTTCTTTATATATGGCACGATTATAAAGAACTTCTTTATATACGTGCAAGATAACACAGAATTTCTTTATAATCATAGAACAATATTTTTTGTTATAATCGTGGTGTTGGCGTATAATATGCTATACCTATGCATCGCTTTGTTTTTTTTGTGCATATTGTAATGCATAAGAATAAATGCATACGTGTGATGTCACTGTGTTTATTGTTGGTTGCATATCACTATATTAGGTATATAAAATATACATTGCCCCTTAAAAACATATGCGCAGTCTTATCATTGAGCATGCTTCTTATTCCTTATGGCTTATACTATGGTAGTTCCATGCCTTCGTGATTATTGGTTATAGTAGTTTGTCAATAGGTACTCAATAGTGTAAACGCTTACGCCCTACAGACTACAATAATGCAGTATAATTTGTTAATATTTATGTAACGATGGAGGTACCAAAATATTTTTTATTATTATGTTCATTGGTGCAAATATGGGGGGGGGCACTTAGTCCCCCCAAATGTTAGTCAAGTCCCCCCCAGTTCAATATCTATAGTAATTAGTACTAAATTGTATATTATTTGGTACTAAGCAATATGGCTTATAGTGACGGGGCTTGAGTCCCCCCAAAAAATTTAGTCAATTTGCGCATATGATTATGTTCAATGTTAATGATGGATAATGCAAAGGCCGATCTCATAGCCTTCGGTATTTGTTATTCCGGCTGTGCCGCTATTGTCGTGCCCTGTTTTACCTTAGCCTTTTTGGTGTATTGCTAAGATTGCTTCGATTGATGCGTCTCCGGGACTCAAAGCTTGCAATTATGATTTTTCATGTTGTGAATCTGCGTGTATACGGCTGCCAGACCAATTTAATGCAGTTATGTGATAGCAGGGTATAGACACTCTGTGTATTGGCAAAATCGGGTGACTGTGGCCTTGAGCACAGTCTCTAAGGGGCGTGGCATATGTTATCATTTAAATAAATCATATCAATATTATCAGTCCACAGAATAATAATAGTAATAATACAATATATTATTTCATTAACAATAAACCAATGTAAAATTACATTATAGTTTTTAATTTATATTAAAACAAAATCCTTATTCATTTTACCAAAATTTAATATTGATATACTTAAAATATGAAAATTCATATAAAATCGTTTATAAAAATTCCGTAACAAAGAGGGATACACGTTGCTAACGTTCTATCAGATTACGGATACGGTACAACTTTTATAGTCCAATACATCATACCGTAGGGATACGTAAACCCTCACAGCTGATCGAGTGTCTATTCTATATTGTTCTGTGGTGATAGTGTGAAATACATTATACCTATTATTAAAATTAAACGTCAATATTCGCTAAAAATTAAAATTATTGTTTTTATATTATTTATTTAAACTGAAATGTTGTTACCCAATTAATATCAACACGACTTTTGTAGGTCATCATGGGCGTAACGGGGATGGAATCGAGTCCTAACAAACCTAAGTGCAAAATAACTTGTGGGGGGACAGAGCCCCTCACATCATACCCGTTATCACTTATCAGCGTCCCTGGAATTTAGCAGTCACAAGAAGTCTTCTAAAATCAAAATTGAAAATAAACCACATCATTAAAAACAAAATGTAAATAGTAATAAAATAAGTATATATTATATTAATAATAGCCTGGTCACTAAATCTATTTTGGGTCATAGACCATAGTCGACCATGGCTATTTCACCTATTCAGTGGTATTAATATATTTAGTAATTAGTAATTAGTTCATTAGAGTAGACAAAAGGTATAGTAAAGTAATGTAAATAATAACATATGAGTAAAATTCTTTTAACTTCAATTTTATATTTTTATATAATCAATGATACCTAACCATAAGTTATAACTTATAACCGAGAAAATTCCAATCTATTATTGTGCTGTATTGCAGTAATGCAGTGTACCTAATAAAAAGAGTAAAATACATTTTGTTGTAGTTGACAGTTCATAAAAATAATAAATTCAATGATAAAAAGAGGGTACCTAAGTGGGTGTCGTACTGTTGTACAGTAGGTAGGTTATAACTGTTGCAAGTGGGAAACTGTGATGGATGGTGTTAAATTTAAACTCAATTATATATCATCAACGAAAATTGATTCTGAGCGGAACAGTTTGTCAGCATAGACTATTTAGTATTATATTTATATTGTGTTAATTTAAATATATATGAATGCGGTAGCCGACAAGTTGAATTAATATTATTTGTGTAATTGTGTATTATCTTTTTTGTATATTATCATATTTTTTTATACCTAATAATATATTACTTATATACTTAGGTACCTATGTACCTACCTTAGAAGTTTCAAGTATAGGTAGGTACTCACAAATAATATTTTTAAATTGTAACACAAAGCTAAAATTGTTCTTCTTCATTTAAATATCTAATTTCGTCCAATAATAATATAATAATGTATTACACTGTATGCACATGGTAGTGAACACATGAACGTCATCTACAATTTGTAAAATGATTTATAGAATTTTGGCAACTATCTACGCCAGTAGTAAGAATTAGGTACCTATAGTTATTCACATCGATAAGAATCTTATTAGAGTTTTAAATATGAACAATTATTTATATAATTGATATTTGAAAGTTGATATAATTTTTATTTCAATCGCCAATCAACATTATATGCATATAAGCTTTGAAAGTGTTAGTAAATACATTTAGGAACCATAATTAAACTATTTTGAAAATTGCCAACTAAATGTACATTTTCGAATAGCTATAGTTACACCTATAGTTACAGCTATAGGTACTACAAAATAATAAAACTTTTAATAATGTATATATATTTTTATTTTTTGTTGATTTATAGTTATAACTTTTTTTTTTCTTTAGTTTTGTCTAATCGTTTATAAGTACATTTGGTATGCTACGTGTGGGTCAAAGATGGAAAATAAATAGTGAGCTGACCATAGATATATACAACAACTAGATAGCCGTCTTTATACTACAGTTGTGACCAATGTTGAAATCGGCCGCCATTTATAAAGCAGGCAATGTTTACATTTATTTATATACATATATATTTATCTATACATATTATATACTATGATAGTATGATAATATTATTTTGTAAACATAGCCTGCTTCGTAAATGGCGGGCGACTTCGATGACAAAAATGAGACGGCTATCTAGTTGTTGTATATGGAGCTATGGCGCTGACATCCCAACCAGCAACCGATCTTACGGAACTAAAATATGCGCCTACATACAACACTTGGATAGCACATTTTTCGTGACATAAGATATTTATTTTAATTCTTAAAAGAATTTGAAAACACATTTACTTTAAACATCGACTCTTTCGGCGGAATCCGTGAAGTGTGTTCACTGCAACGTGGCCGAGGAAACGCTCCAGAATACTGCAGAACTTAAAATATTGTGATTTATGAAAAATAAAATTATACGGAACGCAGTAAATTTTTTGCTCATGTCTGATTTGCTTATTGAAATTTTAGAATTTTTAATCGACTGTGTCTTCTGCAAAGACTTTGAGATTTGCCATAGAATACCTATAAATGATAGATATATTATACTAGGTACCTATTGTATATGTCAATATGACGAATCCACGGATATAATATAATGCAACTTTTTATATCAAAGAGTTCCTTGTTAAGGAACAATATTTGTTCGTTGAAATTTGATATGACAATAATCAAAATAGCTTATAATTTTGAATTTGAAATATAATATGATACCTATATTATTTAAATTATTATTTTCGTTTATTAATTTAATTATTGATTAAGATGGTGTATATAGATATTATACACAAGCATAAGCACAAGCAAATTTTTTGTATGAAATAAAAATTTGATTATAAAAAATATGACTACTGGTGTTTAGATTTAACATATAGGTCATAGGTATACAGTATACACAAGCTTTGTATAGGATTGTTTCAAGTACCTACCTACAACCTACACCAGAGAACTAAAATCGTTATTTCTCGTTAAAATAACCAATTTTGTCAACATTTGTATTTGGGATGTGTACCTACGCATAATAAATATTGAACAATTTTATTTTTGGTATTTTCAGTCTGCTGTAAGATCAGTTTATGAGAATCATTGTATTAAATTATTTGGATTTTTTTTTTCAGAAATAATAATTTTATACTAGTTAGTAGTTACTTACATATAAGTCGATCAAAAACTATATTTACAATGAATGTTAATAGTTAAAACTTAAAAACAATCAAATTATCCATTATTTGTATTTTTTTATAAATAATAATTTAGACTTTAATATAAGCACTAAGCAGTAATCATGTTCCTTTCACAAAATGTTTTTTTAATTAATGAAATTAAATTTACATTCTTTAGTACTTTTGGCATTTATCCACGAGGGACCTCTGAATAATTCAATGATGAATTTAACAGTTAGCACAATAATTTTATTATAAATTAGAATAGACTGCAGTTTCCAGCTTCTATTACAACATTATTATTTTATATACCTTGCACCAGTGACACCTGATTGTTTGATTAAACTTTTTACCCGATTTAAATCAAAAAAGAATTATGATAAATATTTATCCTCATAATATAATAGTATGAACAATAAATAAAATATATTAATTTTATGAGCTAGTTTTATAAAATTTATTACATTTCCTCGTTAAATATATTGCATAGATAATATTATGTTTTTCGAAAAAAACTTTTAAAAAAAAAACATGAATAATTTCTATTTTATGTCACACGGGTTGATCTAGTAACTGGCAACTGCTACGGCAACTGTGCAAATTTTTTAAGCATAAACTTTTTCGAAAACGTCCAGAAAAGAGTTTGTTTTAACTTTTAAGGCTTTAAGTCTAGATAACATCCAATTTATATTAAAGTGTATTATACTATTATTATATTATATTATAATATTATCAAAAATAATAGCTATAGTAAGATATTTAATACCTATTGCCTATTGGTATCTATGGTTTAAACTACATAAAATAATTATTGAAGAAAATTATTTTCATTATATGCTGATAAGCTATGTAGAAATATTCGTGCCCCAGAATTGTGTATTTTGTGTGTTATTATCTATTATTGTTAGTTTAGAAATCGAATATAAAATTATAATATAATATATTTTTATTAAAAGTGCACCATAACGAAGGGGCATCACACGACAGCGGCCCCGGTGGATTTCTCCCACTCTCCACCTGGGCCAGTCCGCCACTGGCTATAGCTTACATGATAATTTATACATATTACCTACTCGTAGGCACAAGGCACTCGACAGGCCCCACTAAGAATTGTCAGTGGTCCCGGACTAGCCATCTCAATTTTATGGCGTTTAATTATCCTGAATCCCAGATGTATATTATAGGAACCTACCTTGTATAATTCGTCACCCGAGACCCGACCATTTGAGATAAAATTTAAGATGACGCTACACCCGCATGTGTTGTCTCCGTCTATTGTCTATTGCACAAATGTACAAAAACTGTTTTGAGCGGGATAGAGTATAGAACCGCTCAGGAGCATAAGCGTGCGCAGGTCTTCTTGGCAGGGGAGGCAATACCTTTGCTAAGGAGATCCAGACTTCAAACCCCTCCCCTAGATATTTTTTTCACCGCTTAGACCTCGATGTGAGCCAACGATTAATAAATAAATCCTCACACAAAATCAAGTATATGATTATATTAAACCATGGTATTATTCTATACGGTTAAGAGTTAGGTTACACATAAAATTACCAAAATAGTTTTCAATAAATCCTTTTTAATAATATTTATCTTTAATGAATAGATAACGATAAAGAACACATACCTAATAGAACATAGAATACATAATAACAAAAAAAAAAACAAAAAAAACATAATTTGAACAACTTTTAAAATAGGTAATAATGTAGTATGTTTTATTAAAGTTCCATACGTCGTTTGGAAGTAGGGTCTAATGTTTTAAAAATGTCTATTACTTCTTCATAATCTACATTATAAGCTTGTTCCTGTTCAATGAACATGTTTAAAAGTCCATCTAATCTTTCCTGACTCATCGTACTTCGTAACTTTGTTTTAACCAAATTTAGTTTTGAAAACGTTCTCTCACAACTACAACTTGTTACTCGCATTGTAATAGATAACTTGAATGCTTTTGTGATACTATTGAAAATATTTTGTCTATCACAAGAAGATAACCATTTAATCCATTCATCGCATTTATTTTTCAATATATTTTTAGGAACACTGTCGTAATTTTGTAAGAGTCGTATTTCTGTTTCTAAAGTTAGTGTATCCAGATTAAACAATGAAGCTAATGTACACACATTGACATAATTTGTTTGTAAAATTGTTAAATTGGCTATACTCTTAATCATATTAATTGTTTCTTGATTAAAACGAATAGATATGCCATTGATCATTTGATTCAAAGCTGTATTATATACAGTTAGTTTCATTTCTTCTTATTTAGTTTGAAAGAAATACTGGTTGGTATGAGAAGCAGTAGCGTATCCAGAATTTTTTTTCGGGAGGGGTTATAATTTATTTTTGTGGAATTTTATCTTAAAATGATTTATTAATGATAACGTTGTTATAATTTAACAATTTTCGGGGGGTTACAACCCCCAAACCCCCCCCCCTGGATTCGCCACTGATGAGAAGTATCTACTTTTGATGAAATTTTTCTTTTTCTTAAAGTTGGAATTGGAATATCAATATCAGTACATAATCTAACAGTATTTTTATAAATATTTTGAAATTATATATTATGTAATAATATATTATGTATACAATATACATATATTTAATCTATGATATTATTATTGTCGATTAAAATATTATTACAATTTGGTAGCCGGTAGGTATCCCGATTTAAGATATTGGTATATTTTAAATCTTGGTAGGTATTAATGTCAATAATGTGTTATGTATAATAATATAATATAAGATCTCGGGGGAGCGGAAAAATCTCGCAGCGGAGGCAGCTGCCTCCCCTGCCTCCCCCGTGCGCACGCTTATGCTCAGGAGTCAGGATGTACATAGTTAAGGACCCCACGTTCATATACAATATATTATATATCTAGTTGAGAACATTATCTGTGAAATATCTTTTTTATTTTCTTGATGTTATAATAGGTGTGTTAAATCTTAAATTTCAAATTTGAATTCAATAATAAAAAAGGTGGGTAAGTGGCAAGGTTTTGTCTACTTCGCGGCTCGCGCTTTGGTATAATCACGGTTATTGGGTTAAATTTCTTTAACCCATGATCTGGTATATAAGCAAACTTCTACTTGATAAAGAATTGTTGCCTGAAAATATGTGATTGATAATGCAATAAACAATAATAATAATATTGTGACATTTTGGTTTTTAATTTGAAAAACAATTTCAATTGTTTATTGTAATTTGTAATTGTAATTCGCATGTATATGTATAACTTCATTGAATATAAAGTAAACATATTTTAATAAATCATAGAATAATGGACACAGATGATGGAACCATTCACAAACAAAAAGATGTCGAAGTTCCTTTACAGGATCAAAAAGATGTTAAAAATACAAATAGGTATGTAATTAACTTAAAATTTTAACCTGTATATCGATTTTTCTACTAATAAACTACTTTTGTTTACTAAAAACAATTAGTGAACATTTAAAACAAACTTTTAGCTAATAATCCACGTCCACCCACTAATCTAACATATTATTGTATAACAAATTTTAAATAATTAATATTTAATTTGTACATTAACATTTCTAGTTCAGAATCTCCAGTTCTGTTAAAAAAAAAATCAAAAGGACGGTCATTAAGGAAAAGAATAGATGATGATGAACAAGAAGATGATATGGATATATTGTAAGCTTTACTTTTTATTCATTGTGAAAAAAAACATTAAAGTAAACAACACTGTTAGTGTCCTGATGAATTTTTAAATTGTTTAGTGGTAAACTTGAAGAAATGAAAACTATGCAAAAACTCAGAGACAGGCCCAATGGTGTTAATATCATTAGCCTTGCATTAGGGGAAAAACTTTCTCAAGAAGAAGAAAAATTAATGGTATGTTATGACATTTTAATTTATTTTTCCTTAAATATAAAGATGACTTACTGTGTTTGTATACATGGAATATTTATTCTGAACTTAATGAATTTCCATTACACCTCAATAGTCAAAAGTTGGACGGTATTGTAAAATAGTAATTAAATGTTAAATATTTTAAAATGTAAATAATTAAATACATTTTATTATGTTGGTTTAATAAGTTGGTGTAGCTGTTATACATTTTTATTTGGTTAAAAGTTCTTTTAAATAAAATACTTAAATTACTTAAATTATTACCAATTCAATATTATAAGCACAAATTAATTTACTATTCAAATTTTATTTAGATTGATCCATTCAAAGTAAAAACTGGTGGGTTAATAAATATGAATGCTTTAAAAACGGGACAAGTGACTCAAGTAGATGATGCTTATGATACTGGGATAGGAACTCAATTTTCGGCTGAAACAAATAAACGAGATGAAGACGAAGAAATGTATAAATATTAAACAATATTATTTTTATTAATATAATTAAATACATGTACAATAAATAAAATACTTTTTTAGGATGAAATATATTGATGAACAAGTGGCAGTACGGACTGGTCGAACAGTAGATATAGATGATGATAACGTCAGTCTCAATAAATCAAATTATTGTCCACCAGAATTGGCAGCTTTACAAGCTGTCCCATCACATTTACGAAACTCCACCACTCACAGATCTGAAGAAATGTTATCAAATCAAATGTTGAGTGGTATTCCCGAAGTAGATTTAGGAATTGAGTAAGTTATCTTTTGAGAATTTAGAACAATGTTTCTTAATCACAGGTCTGACACAAGTAGTGTGTTGCTAGGTAGGTCAAAGTTTGTTGCATAGGAGGTCAACCTGTTAACAAATGAGAAACATAAATCTATAATTATAGTAAATCTGAAAAATAATATAACTTTTGGTAGATGTTTGTAAGTTGTAACTGTAAAATGGAAATCACAATTTAATTTATAAAAGGAATAAAAAAAAATTATGATAATAAATAAATTTCATACTTTATAATATTCATTGATTACTAGTGCAAAAATAAAAAACATTGAAGCAACAGAAGAAGCTAAAATGAAATTAATACGCGACAAGCGCAATAAAAAAGATGGTCCATCACAGTTTGTTCCCACAAACATGGCAGTTAATTTTGTGCAACATAATAGATGTAAGTTGTTTTCGTATTTTTTTTTGGTTTGAATATTATAAGGCTCATTTATAATTTCCTATGTTATTCAATTCTAGTTAATATCGAGATAACAGGACCCGATGGGAAAAAAAATTATAAACAACAGCCTGCAGTTAAACAAGATCATTCAGATGAAAAAAATATAGATAAAAGAAAAAAAAAAGATAATGCAACTGACGATTTCCATTACGAAAGATTCAAAAAACAGTTTCGTAGATACTAAGTTGTTTTCTATAATTAGTCTACTATATTTTATGTGTTTAATGTGTATGTACTATATTGTTTATAAAAATTATTAAAATACATAACTTAACTTGTATTTATATTGTATAAGTATTAAGTATAAAAGATTAAAAGATGATGTTTTGAACTAAAGATTCATTAACACCCTTAATATTATTGTGTTCAGCTATTATGTTCCTTAAAAAATTTGAAAAAAAATGAATTGAACTAAATAATGAAATGTAAAACATTATCGCCGTCTTAGGTGAGTGCTCCAAACAAATAGAAGAAGACTGAATATATCATGATTTATGAACTAAGATAATGTGTGTGGAGCAAATTAAAATAATAATTTTATATATTTCTATAAATATTTTAATAATTTAATATATTAAATGTATGAATATATTTTATATTATAATGTATTTTATAGTAACTATTATCATTGATTATGAATACTAGTATTACTAATAGGTACTTCGTACTTAGTATTCATAATCAATGCTATTATTATATTATATAGTTACAGTAATATTCGAGCCACTCGAAGTATGTGTATTATGGTTTGGACACTTGTTCAGATTTATGCTAAACTAATAAATGAGATTCTGGAACACCGTCAGTGGGTCCTTCTGACTGGATGATAAACACAGCTTACTGGCTTGTTTGATGCAGGCACGTAGCCAGAAAATTTCTACTAGGGGGGCCAATAATGTTTGGCCCTTTTATTACTTTCCAAAATTTTTCTTTATGAAATTCTTGTAAGGGGTATGCAATACAAAGAATCTTATTAATTTAAATTATTTACCTTTAGTTGGTAATTGGTTAAAATTATTTTTTTCACAACAAGTTATACCTAATACTTACTTATTTAAGAATTACAAAAATAGAAAGTACCTGATAACAAAAAAAAAAAAATAAATATAGAATTACCTACATCTTCACTTATGGGATACATTTTTCATGCTATGAAAAATAAATCTACATACATATTTAAAATAATAAGCTGCTTCAATTGTTTAACTTCAAAAATTAATTCATATTTGAATACTTATCAAAAATAATAGAGATAAATGATCATCGATTTTTAAATTAATATAATTTTTAAAGAAACTCAAATTTATTAAAAAAAAAAAAACACATACTAGTAGAAAATATTAATAATACACTTATACTTATATAAATATTAAACAGTGCAATATAAAATAATTTTTCTGTTTTTATGATTTTCCGAAAACAATTGTACAAAAATATCTAGATCTAAGTTTTTAGAATTTTTTTTTTTATGCTCATTGAAGCTAAATTATTTAAACGATCATTTGTCATGCGATTCCTCAGAAAGGTTTTCAGTCGTCTCAGACATGAAAAAAGTTCTTTCGCAAGCTAACTTAGCATAGACTTATAACTGCGGCTAATATATTATTGTTTTTAAAAAGGGTATCAAGACCCTATTATATTGTATTTTTTTCAGATAAAATTATCCACGGTTCCCCGAATATAAAAATTAAATTATTACAATAATAATTGTATTACCTAATAGTAATCACAATAGATTTCTCTCAATGTGCATAATCACATTTTTGATAATTGGTAAAAATAATTATATTTTGAATTTGGGGTGGCTGGCCCACCCAGGCCCCCCCTGGCTACGTGCCTGGTTTGATGTCGAGAAACGTAAAAAGTTAATAACCTCATACAAGCTGGATCTATGTATTGTGTGGTGTAGGTCTGACACAGTGTAAGCCTGGGCCCTAGGGTCTAAAGGGCCAATCAAAAATAATCGTTAAAAATTTTATTTTTGCCTACTTTTGTGTAGTGAGAATCCCGTGCATTTTTTGTCCGTAATAAAATGTCAACTTTGAAAAAAATTATGATTGTTCATCACTTAAATTCCTTTTAGAGTAACTCGCTGCAGTAAGTGCAAATGGATGGGCTTAAATTTGAATTCAATGACATAATAT